TAAGTATCTTAAATTAATTATATAGCTTCCAAGAATATTATCACACTATGTGAACAAACTATACTAACAGATAGATCATGATTTTAGAAGACTAACAAAACTGGTTTCATCATTTTTGAACAACTACATAGTCTTATATTGATTTTACGGATTCACTTTATAAGCTAAATTATAAATCGTTCTAGAAATCGAAACGGGCCAGCGCGCGCTCGCGGTCCAGTGGAAGCCGGCGGCCCACCAAGATGCGGCGATCCAGCAGCACAAACACCGGCCGGCCAGAGGCCCAAGGCGGCGCGCGGCCAGCAGGCCCATGCGCGGCTCCGGCGCGGGTGGGGTGCACGGCCCCGCAAACCGGCCCGGCGTGGCCTGCCCAGACGGGCGGGGCGCGAGCGGCCCAGGGCGGGCGCGCGGCCCAAGCGCCAACAGCGGCCCAGCCAGGCGGCATGAGGCTGGCCCAAACGGGCGAACATGGCCCAAAGCGAAGTGATGGTGGTTCATTTTTCGAGAAAACCCCTATATTTACCTTAAATTACTCCGCGGTACTAACGCACTATTCACGTGAGTCTAGTATCTTGCAATAGGGACCCTGTATAAACTGCGTCTTGGATTTATACCCTTTTCTCACCTCATCTTCTACATTCGATACCGAGCAGAGGCAGAGGAGCTCCGGCCGAATGCGGCATGGCGGCCCGACGGCGGTGGCCGAGGGGCGGGGAGGGCCGGTATCGGCTGGAGGGAGGCGCGGCGCATGGCCAGCAGAGGAAAAGGAAGCGCGGCTGCGAGATGGAGCGGTCAGCGTGGTCGGGGCCGAGGGGGGCGCGCTGCGTGGGCGAAGGAAGAGGGAGGCGCTGGTGCTCGCGGCAGAGAGGAGTTGCGCACGGACTCGGTGCGCCTGCACGCGCGGTGAGCAGCGGGGTGCGGAAGGAGCAGCGCCGCGGGGCTCGGGCTCGGCGACTGCGGACGCTGCAGCTGCGGCCAGCGCGGAACCGTATGGCACGGCAGCGCAGCCATGGTGCGTGCTGCGGGCAGCGGACCGGCGCGGGCTAGAGCGGGCGCTTGTGCGCGGTCAGCAGCGGAAAGGGAAGGGCGGCACGGCACGGGAGTGCGCGCGAGCAGCGCGAGAAGAGAAAGGGAGAAGGAGTGCCGGTGCCCGCGTGCAGGAAGGAGGCGAACGGCAGTGGCAGCACGGCTTCCAGTCTTAAGCCGTGCGAGGGTAGCAGCAGCAGCTTGATCACGATCTCGGCACAGTGACAGGCAGCAACGGAGACAAACAAGGTAGCCAAGAAAGCAAGGTAGGCAGGGAGACAAGGACGTTGGAACTCGCGAATTGGAGCTTTGCTCGCTGGCTACGGAGATAGCAGACAAGCGCACATGGCAGGGCGTGGGCTGCCGAGGCTTCCCGTGCGGTGCAGCGAAATGAGAGAGAGAGAGAGAGGAGAGAGTGCACTGCGCAGCACAGAGGCCAGACAGAGATAAGACAGGGGGTAAAGCCAAGGAGAAGCAGCTGGTCAACTGCCACAGTCATGCGGAGGACAGCCATCTCCAGATAGAGGCAACCACGTCACACAACGATGACTATTGTAGAATGCAGGGTAGCGGTGCAGTTTAATATAACCTTTTATTTAGCACCATGTAAGTATCATGATATAGGTATAGAGCATGAATTTACTGATTCTCTTTTGATGTAATGATTTGTCTACAGCTGAAGTTACGAGCACGACATTGGTGCCAGATTGTTGTATAGGAATGGCTTTATCCTTTTTGGACATCGTTTTCTTATCACTCTCACAACATCGTCCGGAAAAACGTTTCCAAAAATTAGTTTGATAGAAGTACGTTGATGAAAGAAATAGGTTAATCCCATAGCCTGAGCGTAGCGTGGTCGGCAGAGCAACATGGCGCGACGCGAAGGAATTGGATAGTTTTTAAATTCTAACTTCGATTTTTGAGACATCATATATATATATATATATATATACTATGAAATAACTTTTACTTATCAAAACAAAAGTTGTATTTTCTCAATTAAACTTGCGCTCCTAATTTATTCAAGTACTAAATACAAACTATATTTTATTTTGTTTATAGTTTTAATCCGATTAACTTCCACCAACAATTATTTCACGTAAAAGTTCATACTTCGCACTAACCCATAGAACCAACAATATTTTTAAGCGCTATTTAATTACTTTGCTCAATATCGTTTGCTAAAAATGGCATTTTAAACATAAGCTCAATATTTAAATTTTAAAATCCGAGAAACTTGTTCTGAAAATTTGACTTAGGCCTAAATCGCGGTGCTAAATAATCTCGTAACACCAGAGGTGTTACAACCAGGTGGCCATCCGCTAGTCCTACTTCATCGGCCTCCACCGACCTCCATCGGCCCCAGCCCCTATGCCGGGGCCCGGCGTCGGTCGCTCCTCCCTCTCCCTCTGCAGTGTTTTGCGTCGTCGAGAACGACGACGTTTTTTTACCTTCCGACTCGGTTGCAACGCAAAATGGCTGCCTTCTTTGCTCCCTCCGTTGGAGCGTGATTTTGGAACGTAAAACACTGTGCACTAGGTATTTTACGTTTGGGTCACCCTTTGCCTATGTTGTTGGAGACAGTCTAAGGCCAAGGCCAAAGACGTGCGGTGCTATGCGGTGGAGGTACCAGATAACGTGGAGAGAGAATTGAGAGATAATAAGGGAAGAAAAAAAAAAAAAAAGCAAAAAATAAAAAAGGTATTATAGACACATTGTTTCCAAAACCAGTACGAGCTGTTTTGACTAAACGTTTTTTCCATCAGACAAACTGGCTGAGAAAAACGTCTCTACTATAAAAGCTATGATTAAAGTTGTTTTTCTAAAACTGGAGCTCTAACAAATATACCCTCAGTATAATATCTACACCCGAGTAGCGCGTGCTGTTCAACTCCTCCTATCGGACGCCGAGTACTGCAAGTCCTCCAACATACGTACAAAACACAGATTCTGACCATTACCTTGTGTTATTACTATATAATATTATTGTGGACGTCAGCTTGTGAACATCACACTGATCATGTTACTATACAACGATTTGAGACTGGAAGGGGACGTATCAAGCTTGGTTTAATTGGCAGTCTAGTGTTCAGACCTTGATAACTACACCTTATATATACGAAAACAATAGTGGTAGCTGTTCTATAAACCAAAAGACAAATCATCAAGTTGCGTCTAAAAAATTGCAAATCACTGTGAAGCTGATCTATTATTCAAGAGACTGGAGTGCTACATGAAACCTATACTGGAAGATCAGATCGGAATTGTTGCACACCATTCAGAGACTTTAACAAGCCCAATCATTGAAGGAAAATAATAATGATTGTATGTATATGAATTCACGTGTCCACAGAGCTCACACGTCCGCGCGAGGTTAAGTCAAAAAATCATAGTCCCGGTGCAATGCACGGACATATTTGCTAGTAAAAGTAAAGAAGTAAAAGAAAAAACAAAACATACTATATAGAACATCTTACGCATACTGTGTGAAATAGTGAGATAATCATAGAACATCCCATTTATTATAATAGAACATTAAAGAATACATAATAGAGCACCACCTATATGTTACTCGAATATCACATGTATATCATGGAGTATAAGAAATAAAAGAGAAAAAATGAAAATAAATAATAAATAATTAATGATAGTAAAGTAAATAAGATGAAAAGAATGAAATAAAAAATGAATAATAAATGCATGAAATATAAAAAATAAATGAATAAGTCAATTAAATATAAAATGAGTTAATAAACCTTTGAGCAAAACATTAGTTGAAACAAAAGGGAAAACAAAAAAAAATCCATGCAATAGAGGAAAATAAAAGAGAACATCACATGGATATTACTTGAACAATCTAAGATGTACCACAGAACATGTCGTAAGTACTACGTGAATACTTGAAGATAGTCATGGAACATCCTACTTATAACATGAACATCTAGAAACCATCATAGAACATCACATGGATACTACATGAACATATAAAAAGACATATGAGAACACGGAAATAATAAACCAAAAAACATGTAATAGAGGAAAGTTTAAAATGACATTACATGGATATTAGTTAAAAAAATTAAAATATACCATAGAACTTCTCACGAGCACTATACAAATACCTAAATATGATAATAGAACATCTCATTTATACTATGAGAACATCCAAAAACATATAGTAGAACACCACATGTATCATCCACGAACATTATATGTAGTTCATGTAAGTGTAGAAAATAAAAATGTAAGACATAAAAAAACCAAAAACTAATTAAATTACAGTTAAATAAAAAAATAAAAAGAAAATAAAAATCCAAAGAACATCAAAAGGGAAAAAAAGTAGAAGAAAGGAAAAATATGATTATACTTATGTAAAAAAATAAACATATACTACATGAACATTATATTTATCACATGAAGTAAAACATGAAACTAAAAAAACAAACTAAATAGAGTAAAATAAAAAACAAAGGAAATGAAAATAAGAAAATCTATGCGAAAGAGAAAAGAAAAGAGAAAGAAGACAAAATAGAAGAAAAGAAAAAAAGATATAGTATCAATAAACAAAAGTAAACAATAGAATATAACATATATAATATTTAAACATCATATGTATCTCATGAAATATAAAAAATCAAAAGTAAAACATGAAAATGATGAACAAAGGAAAACAATTAAGTAGAGTAAATTAATGTATATTTAAAAATGAAAACAAGAAAATCTATAGAAAACATGAAAAAGGGAAAACAGAAGAAAATAAAGGTAAATGAAAAATATAACATAATAACAAAAAACAAAACAAACAAAATAATTAACTAGAGCAAAGAAAAAACAAATGAAATATGTGTCAGTACGGAGCGCGGGTCACAATTATCAGCCCACGGCGCTCGTAGGCGCTGCTACCGTTGCGCTCTCATTCTCCCAACGAAAGCCGAAAAAAACCAGCCAACTCCATACACGCGCACGGACACGCCATGGCCTACTCTATCTCCGCCACGCTACTTGGAGGGCATCGCAGGCGTTCGAGCCAGAACTATCTTGAGGCCGTCAACGCACTAGGCCGGTGCCAAGATGAGGCCCAAACAACATCAGCAGCGACCGTGCGCTGGTCGGCGGGTTACTCCCGTCGGACGGGACGATTTCCGCGAGAAAAAAAAAAGTCCACATTCCCTCTTTTAACCTCTGTGAAATTTCGTTTTTTCCTGTCTGAACTCCAAAACCGAGTAAAACACCTCCCTTAACTTTTAAAACTATTTATCTTACCTCCTTGACCCGGTTATAAACGGTTTTGAAGACGGTTTTGTCTTTTTCTTTTTTATTTATTTCGGCTGAATCTTTGAAAATTCATAGTAAATCTATAACTGTTATAACCAAGCTAGGGAGGTAAGATGAACAGTTTTAAAAATGGAGAGAGATGTTTTGCTCGGTTTTGGAGTTTAGGTCGGAAAAATAAATTTTTACGAAAGTTGAGGAAGGTGACGTGGATTTTCTTCTTTCCGCGCGACGGAGCGATCGGAGCAGGCTAGACAAGACATCTAGAAGCTTCCACCGGCAACCCAACACAGCCCAGTATAAAAACAAGGGGCCCAATAAGACAGTGGTGAAGCGTCGTTTCCGGAGACCAAAACAAACGCCCCCCAAATAGGCCCAGAGCAGCCCCACGTGTCACCTTATCCACACGGCCTCATATAAACAGACTCACCGCAATGGCTTCTGTCGCTGCTGGAGAAAATCACAAGTCAGTCAAAAAAAAAGAAAGAAAGAAAAAGGAATCCCTCCTACGCGGAGGCGAAGAGATTCGTCGCCTCAGTCGCCTCCCCCTGCTCAGATCCGCGGCGGAGCCTCGCCTGCGGCCCGCGCCCCGCGGCGGCGCCGATCCAGGATGCCTTCGCGCGTGCGGGGCTGCTGCTGCTGCTCGCACCTGCGCCGCCTCCCCCGCGACGACGCGCTCTCGTCCCCCTCCGCCTGCGCGCACCGCCTCAAGCCTTGGTCTTGGCGTCCCCATTCCCCCACCTCGTCCTCTTAACGCTTTGCCTCCGCCCGCCCCTCCCCTGATCTACCTGTCTCTACCCTTCCCTCCTCCCTTCTACCTCTCCCTGTTGCTGCTCCTGCTGCGACTTCAATCCTTGTTCGCGCCTGTTATTTCGACTTGTCTGTCGCGTTCGGTACTGACTTCTGCTGGATCGGATTGGTTTTGATCGGTTGCTCGCTTTTGAGGCGGATCTACACTGATACGGGTCAGGTAGCAACCTGGATCGCCTGCCTCTTATAGTCTTATTATGGTTTAGTAATGTATATGTAGCAAATATAATAGTATTAGCCTACAACAAGCTTAATTCGTGCCTTTTAGGAGTTAGGATCGGCTTATGCTATGCTTGGAGTTCACGTTTACGAATGCAACTTGGGCACTTAGCATTAGCATCTAAATCTGGATGTGTGTGGTATGTCTATGAGGAGGAATAACAGCTACATCTGCTCCTGTCCATGTTTCTGTAGCATCAGCTGCGCGGAGTGGTTGTTCGTTTGCAGTGTTGCTGTATCACTCTGCAAGTGCTAAGCTAGTCACTTTATGGACGGTGGTTCCTGTGGTCTCGAGGGAGCGCCAGTAGTGACATCTGGCGGTAACTCTCCTTCCAGCGCTGGTATTCCGCTTCTGCCAGAGAAGCACTGCGCCTCATTTGATGAAACCTGTGGCGCCGCGGGGGGCAGTACTGGTCCTGAAGGAGTGCCAGTAGTGACATCTGCTGATAACTCTCCGGCCCATGCTGGTATTCCACTTCCCTGCGATTCAGTTGATGAAACCTGTGAGTCCGCGGCGGTGGCACTGCTCCATTGGAGGCTCAGATATGTACGGGTTTCTCCAAGTCGATCAGCTTGGATGTGAAGAAAGGCCTCCAGAAGTGTGCGACGTTCCCACTCTCATCTGGTCAGGCTCAGCAGGAGGATGGTTCATGCTGCCATGCAGATGATGGGCTCACGGTTGCTCCTGCTTACGAGCGCTCTGTGTCCTTACCTGTGAGTACCTCATGTTAAATTGTTTTACCATTCGTCCGAAACGATTGCTATTGTACTTAAGTTCTATTGCTAAGTCGTACCTGCTCTATGTGTACTTGAATGACATATCTTGGTTGTGACCATATGAACAAAGTTAGGGAACCTTCACAACAGACTGGATAACTGGATCCCAACTAGGGTTTTTAGTGTTCACTAGCTGCCTTAAGTAATCAAATTTTAGTTTATATTGGCTTCCCAGTTTGTTGCCATGATTCACTCATGCTCATGTAAAATTAGTAACCACCTTTTGAAATGCAATAATAATTTGAACTAATTTAAAGACATCTTGGTTTTATTCTGTGTCAACTGAGTGTTTGGTGGCTAAAGCTCAAGACAATCTCGCCATATATTTATTTCTTTCTTTATTGATTTTTTTTAAAAGGGAGCTCAATTGTAATTGTTTCAAGTTGTATGTCACCTGGCATTCCTTGTGCAAATGTAATTAACTGTTTCTTCTTGCTTTTGCTATAATTGGCCTGCATGTGAATTGAAGGCTCGGACGTTTTTGTTTGCACCACTCTTGTAACTGGTAACCGAAGAAATGTTTAACATGCAGGGTGATAAATACATGTGTGAACTAAATCTATTGATCTGCTTGTTTATGTAACGGTACTTTGAAACTGTATTATACCGGTTAAATTGTCTTGGTATGCTTCTTTACTGATCTCTTATCCATGCATGCTGGACAATAGTTGGCAATTTGGCATCACAAACAGCTCATATCGCATTTTTCATTCACGTGAACCAACCAGTTTATTGTCCTAGACATGGTGGACAGTCACTATTTGCTCACTTAAATTCTATTGCTAAGTTGTACCTGCAGTATGTGTAGTTTTTTGACAACAGCAGTATGTGTAGTTGAATGGGACCTTTTGGCTGTGACCATTATATGATCTGACTTTCAGAATCTGACAACAGGCTGGATTCCAACTAGTGCTTTTTAGTGTTAGTTAGCTGCTTTAAGTAATCAAATTTGATTTATGATTGCTTTCCTGTCTGTAGCCATGATTCACTCATGCCTGTTCAAAATTAGCTGCGTCCTTTCAGAATGCAATAATACTTTGAACTAATTTCAAGATACATGGTTTTGTTCTGTGTTAACTGAGTGTTTGGAAAGCTGAAGAGTTATAGGTCCAGCAGCTGGCCATATTAGCAAGTGGCAGCCATGCCATGCCAGAGCGTCCCAGACTCCCAGTGCATCTTTCTGTCTTTATTGATTGCCATTTTTTAAAAGAAAAATGGGAGGCTATAATCTTGTAATTGGCAAGTGGTAACTGAAGAAAGGTATAACAAGCCTGGCGATAAATATGTGCGTGAACTAAATCTGTTGATTTGCTTATTTACGTATGGTACTGCGAAACCGTATTTACCGCTTAAAGTGTATTTGTCTGTATTTACCGCTTAAAGTGTATTTGTTTGCTTTTGTATCGAACATTGATCTGCTATCCATGCATGCTGGACAATAGTTGACAATGTGGCAGCAAAAACAACTAGTGGTTATTTTTCATTGATGTAAACCAACTGGTTTATGCTCCTTGATGTGTTGGACATTCACTATTTGCTCTCTGGAGCTTTGTTTGATAATTGACGAGACATTAAGGCTTTTGTGGTCATTTATGTTGCCTAACAGAAAATTATTGACCGCCTTTTTCATTTTAATGTGTCAGCAGCCAACTTTGAAGCTCATCCCTGCTATGAAAGGAGGCCGTGAAAAGAATGGAATAGCATCACCAACAGAAAATCGCCATGTCAAATGGGCTCCTGATGTGTATGACCCCCCTGTGACATCGGTATGCCATTCAGTGACTAACAGCTATCAGCGTCGGTCAAAACACCGCAAGAAGGAGAAGAACAAACAGAAGAAGAAACAGAAGGGGAAGTCAAAGAAGAACCAACAAAATTCTACCCAAAATTCATCTGTACCGCAGGTTTCTGATCTCGGGTATGTTTACTAGCATATTTTTATACCTGTTTTGTCTGTGTGAGTTGCGCATCTGCATGTGATATTCTGTTGATTTACACACATTGAACTTGTTAGGTTGAAAGGTGTTAGCACCACTGGTGGCCAGTCTTCAGTAGACGATCTCAGCAAACATGAGGCCGGGATCATGGATTACAGCATGGGCAGTCAGGAAGCCAAATGTGGAAGCAGCTTCCTGCTCGAGGCTGTTGCTAAAATGCATTTCTCGATCGCTGAAGCTTCCTGAGAGGCGCCCGGTTTCTGCAGATGCTCCCTCAGTTCTGTAAATATGATGGATGTATATAAATAAATCCAGCATGCTGTTTTTGTTGTTGTCGTGTGCGTTTGAGGTGTTTGAGAGCTTGGCCTAGTGATTTGGAGAAATAATTTTTGGACAGACTCTGTTATGTATGTTTTGGACGACAGACATATCTATCTTCAATCCATGACTTTGCAGTTGTTGCCTAATATTAACCATGATTTGTTGGTTGTAGTTGTAGAGCCGTAGATGGTTATGGATACTCATCGCATACTAGTTGAGTAGATAATATGACGTCTGATCCGGCAGGTAAGTGTCTGAATCAGGACTCATCAAAACAGAGATACTGGGTGTACCCTCCCAGCTTTCATCTCTATCAGTTAAGCATTAGGCCTCGACTCTTCTGAAAACTGATGGATGTTCTGAACTCAAGTTATACACCACAAGATATTTTTGATTAATTGAAGTTTTATGTGTCATTTTCAACAGTAGTGAAGCCTTGTTCAAACTTCAGCCTCAGCATCCTTCATCCAGGTTTTGAGAAAGCACAAGGCAGACAGTATCATAGGGCATTCTGGATACTAGAATTTCATCATCAGAAAGTTGCTGGTCATGGCAAGCATGACCAAGATATAGCAGAACTTCGACGAACACGCACGCGGAAGGGGGTAGATTGATTGATTCATCACTGCAGTGGCCAGTGGGTGCAGTTTACATTGCCCATAACCTTTACATTAGTCCTCATCTGAACTGATGATGCTCATGCTCAGGCAGCGGCAGTTCATTGCTGGCCATTCTCAGTTTGCACGGCCCTGGATCACGTCAAGGCCAACCTCGGCAGAATCGGTGGCCTGGAGCTCCACCTGGATGCCGTCCAGCTCCCGCTTGAACCTCTCCTTGGAGCTGGCGTAGATCATCTTGCTCCTCACGCGCGCCGTATCAGGGGACCTTCACAAACACACATTGCAATTTCAGCCATGAACGCCAAGCACATCACAAGCCAGCCTGGACAGACAGCAGTGAGGAATGACACATACCAGGCGATGAAGAAGATCTTGCTCTTCTGGCAGTTCTCCTCGGTGATGAAGTCGTAGTCGAAGATGGCGTACCTGCACTCGTTGGTGGGGAGGCTGGCGGCGAAGTCGTCGTAGTTGAGCACGGGCTCGCCCACCTGCTCCACCACCACCATCTTCTTCTTCTCGTCGATCTTGTAGATGATGAAGCGGTGCGTCCTCTTGGCCTTGAGCTCCAGGAACCGGCGCTTGCAGTCGTCATCGACAGCCATCCCTGACGCCGCGTTTGCCTGCAGGGAAAGGAAAGGAAAAGAAAACAAGATTCAGAGTTTGCAGAGTAGCATCCTGAACTTGCAGAGTAAACAATCGCTTGCTATTTGCTGCGGTGTAGACTCTATCTACTTTCTGTATCATTAGGCGTGTGTGATGCGGTTGTAAAAGACTAAAAGTAGTTCCATAAGCTCGTTGGGACCAGACCAGACTAGAACAGACCAGCGGGACGGTGCAGAAACAGAACAGCTGCAGTTTAAGAGGGACATGATATCTTCCTCCGTGTGAAGTTGGTTGGGTTGCCTGGCTGTACCTATCATCTCATCTGAGCTCAACACAACTAATGCAATGCAAAAGACTGGCAGGACAACGGCTGCTGAACAAACTGAACTCGTGATAGCCGATAAGGTGTAGTACTCGGCGGATCTGGCTGACTGAATGTCAGCTGGCAGAATGTGGACATGTCCACCGCACCATAATGATCGGTGCGAGTTCACACTGGTCGGCATCAAACAATGATCATGACCGTGAAGACTGAAGAGCATCAAACCGGATCGGTAAACAATGTGATGAACGGAACCTCTGGCATTTCCTCTTGGGTTGGGTACATGCTCTTGGATGTGTCTTGCATGAGCATGCCAGACTGCATATATAAACTCTAGGAGCATTGACAAGCTCATAGGATGCATCTCGCTTGTATGTAAACTGTAAAAGAAAAGAAAACAACAAAGCTATTGCTACTACATCTGGTCTGATGTGATCACCAGACGTGTGAATCAGCTAGCTCTTGGTCTTGGATATGCATATGATGCGCTTAATTCTTGCTCACCCTTTTTGTGTGTGTGTGGTGTAAATGAAAAGAGAAAAATGTTGCTGTACTAGTTAAGCTGACGAAATCCGAGGCTGGATTAGTAGCGAGTACCGTAGGTGCCTTGATGCTACCATTTGCTTATCTATGCTTGTGACTCTAAATCGAGGGTAAATTAGATCAACTTAAGTAAACGAGGCTCTAACTAACGGGCAATGTGCTGTGCCGTGACTGAAGGAGATTTTAAGAGTCGATCGCACGCAGAATCCGTGGATCGGACAAACGAAGATGCAGATCGCGTAGCCGATGAACTAACAGGAGTACAGAGCAGCGAGGTGAGGAGGCGCCGTGCGTGCTTACCATCTGTGCGGGCAGGGCAGGAGACGCCTCGCAGAGGGGAGGAGACGGGATCGGCGGCGGGCGTCGAGGCAGGATCCTCCTTGGCGCGGTCTGCTTGGGTGGTGGTGGTGGGCTGGTGCTGGTGGCGCAGCAATGGTGGTGGAGGTGGTGGTATTTGTGTGGGAGCGTCGCGTGGGATGGACGCGCCGCCCTCTACTGTCTTCCGCGGCATCTTTTTGGTCGGGGGCTGCGGGCGGCGGGGCAGGCACCCAATGGGGCCCCACCCGTCAGCTACCTCTATCTGCACCAGCCGCAGGCCCACAGGAAGATGCCCTGCCCTACTACTTCTAGCCACCCGTGTGCGCGGTGGGCCCACCGGGATCGCATCACGTCATGGCATGTACTCATGTTGGAGCAGCCCAACCACTCGATTACAGTAGGAAGGCGACTCGTTGGGCCGGGGCCCCCCGTCTTCGTAATCTTGCTGGTCCGTCCGAGGATTAGGGAGGGTGGCCCGTTTAATTGGCAGTAAGATTGCCTTGGACCAAGACCCCAGTGCGCGACGCAGGCCCAACGGCCGGGCCGTGGGAAATTGGGCCACAGCTCCAGGCTCAAGCGTCCACTCATCAATAAAGAGTGTGGTTCCCCTCAAAAAAAAAAATCAATAAAGAGTGTGGTTTTCTAAAAAAAGAGTGTGGTTTCCTCCAAAAAAAAAAATCAATAAAGAGTGTGGTGATTTCAAAAAAAAAAAAAAAACTAAAAAAGTACAGCTTCAGAGGCTGAGGCTCAAACTAGGTGAGTACCTATACGTACGTTACAAGTAAGCCCAAAACAAGTCAGGCAACCTATTTCAAATTCCATTTTTAGTAGAGGATTCATGCACGCATGATGTACTACACCCAAGGAACCTACGAGGAATCGAAAATGCTCGTTCAGAGTCGTCCGTCCTTTCCGACGCGGCGCGTCTCCACTCTTCTGGCTCCCGCCCGTGACACTTGGCTAGTGCTCCTGCTAAGAGCACGAGTAATATATATTATACTTATATTAAAAAAATCACCAAATCTTCTTCTCCCTTTGTCTTCATCTGGACAAACCAAGCAGTAGCGGGAGCACACCTCTTGCCAGCGCCTCCTCTGTCCTTTCCGCTTCCTCCTCCCCACCACAGCGCCTCGCGGCTCCTCGCGTGGCACCTCTTCATCCCTGCCGCTTCCTCCGCCCCACCGCAGCGCCGTGCCCTCGAGCTCGTTGCTGGATCCCGCCACTTTCTGTCCATCTTCTCCACCACGGGCTACAATCCTACTGCTAGGACTATAGTACAGTGAGGGGCGGGCTGGGAGATGGCGCTCCTTGCGGGGCCCCTATGGGCAGTGGCTGTCCTCGGCCTCCCTGCTCGGCTGGGCCTCGCCGTTGCGACTCCAGTGCCTCTGCGTAGGGTGGCCTCCATCCGCTCCCTGTCCTCCTCGCCGATCTATACCGCAGTTCCCCACTAGGTAGGCTATGGCCGCGCGGTGAACGCTGTGTTTCTATGTTTCAGGCGTTTTCGACTTTTGTTTCAAATGCTTTATCTGGATGTTGTAAAAGTAGATCTAGATGTTTGCATATGTTTTCAGGCGTTTCAGACATTTGTTTCAAGTGTTTCATATTGATGTTACAAAAGTAGATCGGGATGTCACATATGTTGGAATGACAAAATACGCATGTTGCAAGCGTATGTTTCAAGTGTTTCAGACATACGTTGCGAACGTTTTGTCTGGATGTTTCAAAATAGATCTTGGTGTTGCACATGTTGTAAATGGTTATACATGCATGTTTCAATAGCATGTTTTAAGTGTTTCATCTATCTTAGACGTATGTTGCAAATGTGTTTATCTAGATGTTTCAAAAGTAGATCGGGCGTTGCACATGCTGCAATAGCGCCGGTGGCCGGCGGACAACGACCTGCCTTAGTTGCCTGCTGCTGCTGCTGGGGGGCTGTCGTGGGTCATCGTGTGTGGGCGCCTGTGGCCGTCAGACGCCTCCGCGGCGTGCATCCGCAGGCGGGTGCAGGTGATGAGACCTAGGTGGGGCCTGGGGATGGGCGCGGGGAGCGAGATGGGTTGCTAGGGCGCGGTGCAACGTCCGAACGTGGGGCACTAACACTGGATGGGATGCGGACTCGGGTCGTGGGATGCGGTGCGAGATAATGTGCGGGAGCTGCGTCTGGACACGCCGTCTGTCCGGACGTTCGGGTGCTATCCTCCGATCAGGAATATCATGCATCATCTTAACACGCCCACACACGCATGCTTATAGATGTACAAAACAACAAAGCTTAATTCGACCAAATAAATAGCAATCGTCTCATCATGTATCCCTACAAGATCGGATCTCCAAGAGATCATGTGAAATTAGATTTCAAATTCCATGATTTAGCCATTCTCTAAAATAAAATATCCTTAAAGAATAGAGTAATAATGCAACAACATTTCTAGATTTCCCATTATCTATTTTTGAAATGGCCACGTCATCCTTAGATTGGATCTTTCCTATGGGATGAACTGTGAGCACACAGCTTGCAG